TGTGGGTGGTGGGAGTGAGCCAGCCCCCTAAGCCAGATCACGTCAGGAAGGTCACTGGCCGCCTGCAATGGCGGAGAAGCCCCCCACCCCCAAGCCAACAGCGTGTTTCCTGGCGAGGCCCTGCTGAGAAGCCAGGTTGCTCTCGCCTCATCTTCGTTCTGAGGTTCCTTGCGAGCGTTTGGCTGTGGGCTGGCAAAGGGCTGCTCTCACACCACCCCGGGCCTCTGCCCCCTGCGCATGGTGTGCGTATCTAGGGTAGGAGCAGCAAGACTATGGAAGGTTGTGGGGGGAGAGAAGAATTTTGCAACCCTGTCCAGCTGGCCTCAGGCATTTCATCTGACTGGCTAGGGCTCATTTCTTCAGGGACTTGTGGGGTAGGTTCTCTGGGGCAGTGGTTGCCAAGGGGCAGAGCACTGAGGACCTGGCTCACTTCTTTCTAGTCCCCAGCATCTCTTCTTTGCCTGACATATGTTTGGGAAATTGATTGTGTTATTTTAGACCTTCCTTACTCTTCACCGGCTAATCAGTCAGCAAATATTTGTTGAGTGACTCTGTGTACAAAGCATAGTTTGCGTGGCATTTGTGGGAAACGAGCTCCACACGGCAGGAGAACTGGCACCAGGAAAAAGCGGTGTTTGGAAAGAGCCACCAGCTGCTCCGTCGTTTCTTCTTCCTTTTCTTTTTTAAAGATTTTTAAAATTCTTATCTGAGGACATGGTTTCCTTTTATTTTATTCATTTATTTTTGTAAGTATTTAACTTTTAATGGAGGTAACGTTTTCACAACAAATTGAACTAACATGACATTGGATACTTGTCAATAACCTTTTGAACAATAAGGAAAAATTAATTACTATCAAAATAATGTGTAAAATTCAAGTGATTTAAATGCCACAACTTAAAAAAAATTTTTACTTTAGAATCAGATATTCTAATTGTTTCGAACAAACAGTATTTGGGACTATTTAATGAAATAAGAAGATAATTTTTCTCTTTTTTTTTCTGAGTTAGGGTGGGCTCTAGACCCAGTGCTGGTATCTTTTTATCTCTCTTTCTTTCTTTGTTGATTAAGGTATTACATATGTGTCCTTATCTCCCCATTCCCCCACCCCTACTCCCCACTCATGCCCTCACCCCCCTGTTGTCTGTATCCGTTATGGTTTCTGTTTGTTTCTTTTTTTATTGGTTTGAGAGAGAGAGGGAAGGAGAGAGAGAGGGAGAAACATCGATTGGTTGCTTCCTGTACATACCCTGACTGGAGATCAAACCTGTAACCCGGGTATGTGTCCTGACTGGGAATTGAACTTGTCACCCTTCAGTGCACGGGACGATGCTCCAACCATCTGAGCCACACGGGCCAGGGCACTGAGTCATTTCTTGTTGCAGGAATTCAGGGAAGGGGAAAGTCACAGGAGGCTATCTGGTCACCAAAGGCCTTCATTCAAGCAGTTAGGAATTACACCCTCCCCTAATGCCAGGCCAGTGGCATGAGCCTCACAGGACTCGTGGGAATGTGAGTGACCGAGCCTTCGGCTGGTTCTGTGGTTCCTCCTGACTCAGGCCTGGGGCATCAGCCAGGTGTGAGGGGCAGGGAAGGTATTCTGTTCATCTCGTGACCTCACTACCCATAAGCCTGCCACGGGGAGGAAGGGACGAGGTGGTGACGTCATAGGACTGGCTGACTCCCTGTGTCAGGACAATTCCTAGACACTTCGGTGGGGCTCTGGTTCTGACCGCCGGACCTGGCTGGCTCTTGGTGGGTCTGGCCTCTGCCTCAGTAGAGACCCAGGCTTGCTTACCACCCACAGGCCTCACGGCCATGTTTCTCGCCTTGTGTTTGCCATGTAGCATCTACACGGTCATCAGAGCCGGAAGGGACATGAGAAAACACCAACCTGGGCTCTCATTTGACCCACAAGGAAACAGAGGCCCAGAGAGGACATGTGTGGGGTTCATCGCCTCTTCGGCCAGTTAGAGCTCTAAGCGAGTCTGGTGACTCTGGGTCCAGTGCCCCTTCCTGGACTTGTGAGCGGGGTGGGGGCATTGCTTGGGACCTCAGAAGTAGCCCAGCATCCCCTTACCACAGAGTGTCCCGTCAGCCACCACCCCAAGTCCAGGTCACAGCTGCCTAGGTCACGCCTGCCTCCCCACACATCCCCGCTGCATGGGCTCATTTGCTCTCTTGCTCGTAGAGAACTCGCTCTGCCAGGGCAGTAATCACACTGGGAGGTTTTTCCTCCCCAGGAGCAGGGCTGGACTGCTGCTGCTGATCTTGTGGCGTTAGGCCTGCAGGTGATGGGATTTAAGTCACCTGCCACTTGAAAAAGCCTCTCTCACCGGTTCCGAACGTTCCGTGACAGCGGTGCCCTTTGCTTTTCGCGGCGCACCCAGATGAGGTCCTCTCCACTCCTGCGCTGTTACTAGCGTGATGCACAGTCAGGCCACGGCGATTCATGCAGACCAGATCTGTATGTCATTATGGCTCATTAAGGTATTGACATTGATATTCCTGAGAAACATTCCCCAGCCAGGACACTCCCAGCGCCTGACCGGCCCCAGCCTCTCCCTCTCCCTCCCCCTGGGTCTGGGGCAGGTAAGAAGAGGCCCTGGTTCCATTTCTTGGAGGTTCCAGTTCTTGGAGGTACAGGGAATCAGGCTTAAAGAGAAGGAGGCAAAGACTGCCCAGGAGCAAGGGGCTGGGAACCCCCAGGCATCCCCTGTCCTTACCACCAACCCCACCCTCCCGGAGCCTCCTGGTAGGGAAGCCAACAGCGCAGCTCTCTGTTCGGCCCTGGGCCCTGGAGACCAGCAGAGGGGCTCACTCTCTGGGTTCACATCCCAGATTCACCGTTGATTGGTTGTGTGCCTCGGACATGGCATTCTAATCTCTGTTTCACAGTCCAGGAAAGCAGGCCTTGAGATAAGCACCTTACTTTCCTCAGAGGGTAGTTAGGACCATTAAACTCGATCAATAAGGCCCATGGTAAACCCTCAGGCACATAATATCATTCTCATCCAAGTAAGAGCTGACTAAGTCTGTCATATTGACCATGTGAGCTACAGAGACTGGTGTGGAACCGGAAGACAAAGCTGGTTCTACTCTTCCCTCTCTCCTGGAAGAGAGGGAGCAAACTGAAAATACAGAGGTAGGTCCTGACCCTGGTGAGGCGGCCTGGGAGCCCCGGGGCGGCTGGAGGCCTCTCAGTCCCTGTCCTTGCTTGTAAAGTGGGGCCGTGACAGCACCTCGAGTGGCGGGGGTGGAGTGGGACCACCTGGGTGTCCCCTCCCTGCTCATTGAACGCTCCCTTTCTCTTCTCTTCTCTCCCCTCCCTTCAGAGTCTTTGTGTCCCAGGGAGCAGCGGGCACTGACTCCGGCCCGAGGGATGGTGACTTGCGTTCTTGGAGGGGAGCAGGGCAGTTGAGGCCTGTGGTCCTCGGGCACCCTGCCCGGTCCTCCCCGGTGGAAGGATGTGAAATTGCCTCTCAGCTCTGCCCTTATGTTTAATTGACTTGCTGACTCTTTTGAAAACAGCCAGGCCTCTTCTGTGGGTCTCCCCGTACAAGGCGAACAGAGGCTTAGATGCAGAACAGAAGGAGCCAGGCCTCTTGTATTCCAGGTGGCCATGGGGGTGACCACCCTCCCGGGGCCCCACAGAATGCAAGCCTGGGTGCTCTTCCCTGTGATCCAGGGCAA